TATATAACACCTCCTCTCTTACGCAAAGAATAGTAATTTGAAGCAATGAAAAGCGTTGAAACAAGAATGCCCTGTATTTTCTGTTCACCCGCACTTACTACATAGATACTTATTACCTCCCCCACCTACTCCGGTTGAGTGCCACCCATCCCCGCTTACGCATTTCCTATGTTGGATAGCGCGTTTAGGGTTACCCCAAAACACTTGGGACACCGGAATAGGAAACCCGCGCGACAAGAACTTGTGAAAACAAGGCTAGGGTGTGGTTCGGGCATTGTAGTTGCTAGGCTATGTTTGTCGTAGATCACATGGATAAGGAAGGGTACGCGCATGGGATCATGCTTTTATCCCCGATATTTACTACTTTTGGAGGAACCCTAACTGTCCTGAACCCCCTTTTCTTCGGCATGCGCTAGGCCTGCGTGTGTGTATTATTATAGATCATGTATGCATTAGTAACTCCTTAGGCATCGTAATCCAGGCAGCGGGATCATTCTAATAGAGTATTAGGATTAAGTTTCAAACCTACATACCTGTCTAGATCTCAATATTTATTGCGTCCCCGTGATATCTCGTGTCGAGTGATAACGTGTTTCACCGGGAAAGCGATCGTCACCGGGAAAGCAATCAAGGGTGACAACGGGTTGATCCAAAGTTGCTGAAGAAAGTTGAATATATATACAATTACAGAACCAAGTAGCCAGAAGTGTTATTTAGATGTCTTCCGACTATTTTTGACATGATTTACCTCTATCTGGCGAGAGTATTGTTTCAGAGAGATCGTTGACTGGGTTAGGGAGTGTAAGCTTTATCGACTTTACCAAATTTTGGTTTATATTCATTATATAACTCCAGGGTTCGGAAAAGACACACTGAACCCTCTTATATATACCTACCTTCATATATTATATTTTGATGCCCACAACCTCTTTTTGTGAGGTTCGGTTGCTTTCCCGGTGATGATCGCTTTCCCGGTGACATACGTTACTATATGATTTATCGACAGGCATGTAACTCGATTTTATTTCCGCAATAACCCGTAAGGTGCATAGAAGGGAGACAGTATGAATATATGCCGCGGGAGTGGAGAGTGAATGATATGCATAAAATCCATAGGGTTTGATTCGAATTTCTGGCCCGTTTTAGTAACGAGTGGTGCTGCGTGAGGCCCTAGGTCACGCGTCACGCTTGACTTTCAATTCTGAAATGTCTCGTATTTGCCAAGTATTAATTTCCTCGTAAATTCATCCTAGATCTTTCCTATTTAAGAAACTATCTTCCGAGAGTATCGAAGGATAATTGTGGTCTCGTACTCAGTTGTATAAGCTGACGCATAGAAACAATGCCCTCGGGCGTTGAGCATTGAAATTTAAACTTGGGATAAGCATATCTACCTAGTGCAATTTCTTTGACTATGTACCGATTCCTAGCCCTGCTATTAGGCCTATAACCACGATTATATATATGAAAGTGGCGGAATTTAATAGTCTTGGATCTGTCTTCCATGGAGGATGTGAAGAAAGGCCGTGCTATAGCATAGTCACTATGGACTCGGAGCTTTATATCTTGTAACCTGTATTTGACTTCATCTATCTCTTCTATCTACTAGGCCGCACACCCAGCTTCCAAAAACCTTAAGCCCGGAGCAGAGCCTATTTTTCTCTTATTTTTCATAACAAAAGCTTATCCGCCGCTACGCGATCATCTCCGCAGCCAAGTAGCGAACCCGTCCAAGATGCTGATTGTCACGTAACAGAGAACTGCTATCCACACAGCGGAAAGAAATATGAATATAGTCAGCACCCTGGCTGGACAAAGACTTAACCGGTAGAGGATACGAGAGATATCGCCTAGCGGGCCAAGGTAGAACCAGTGGATCAGGTGTGCAAGTACGATAGTCTTGATTACGTGGAAATCTAGATAGGTAGACATGTTCGATATTGTAATAGGGAAAGTGAATGGATATGTTGTGATGGATGGTAGAGCTAGAGATAAGTGGTAACAGACTTCTTATTTATAAAATATGTTGCCTGTATCTCTTGAAAGTAGATTTGGCCGTGGGTGGTATCGTTGTTGAGTTGAATGCTCTCTATACATGAAGTAAGCTTTTCAAGGCCGCCATAGCGCCGCACGGTATTCTACACCATTAGGGGAAGATAGCTATATAGACTCATTGTATGGCAGCTTCCCCTTTTACTTTTAATAACTTCATCAACTTCATTAACTAGCGTTATGTCAATTTGAACCCAAGACCCCTTCCTTTCCATCAAAATAGATCTTCTTCAATCCCTACCCTTCTCCCTTAAGTATCCTTCCTCTGTGTAATCCCTCTCAAAGAGTCTCTCCTGCTTCGAATTTCTCTATCCAGGTCGATCTAACACAGGCTCTCCCATCTTCCAACCTTCTCTTACTAGATTAGCGTCTACCCATTAAGACGGGTTGTCATCAGGCAGTAGTAAGACTAAGCGTTTAATTATGAAGAAGAAAAACCCCTATTGATTCCTCTCAATTTGCGTAGAGATATATGTAGAAGTTTTTGAGCTGTGAGCGATGAAGGAATGTAGATTGGAAGAGACTCTACATAAGAAACTGTTGTGGTAGTGTTATGCTGGATGTCAAACAGGTAGGAGAAGAGGGGCGTCGACTAGACAGGGGTCTGGGTCGTGGAGGAAAAGGGGAGCTCCTGTCATGTCTTTCCTTTTATCTGTCAGCCCGTTCTCTTCTTCTTCTCCTTATCATCACCAACGAGTACGACCGTGTATCTATCATCAATACAAGTCAACAGAAACGCCTGGATCTGGTAGGATGTAGGTGTCGGTTGGTGGTTGGATTCGCGATGAAATAAATCACCTGGAAACAACTACACGGGGCGAAAGGAAGGATTCATATAGCGCGGGACTTACAAGGTCAATTAAGAAGATGTAGAGTACTCTAGAGTTGTCCAATTAACTACATAATATCATATATACATACACATATAGCCATTAATTAACGTGTAGTTACCTAATTTCGGGCAATAGGACTACATGTACAATGCCAGTCGTGATGGTCAGGCGCGGCATCGCAACGCCGCGCGCGCAACCAGATTTCCACAACCTTTTCACGGCAGGTTGGTACACAAGATGTTAAATGTCAAATTATTGTTATTTATCTACTATTTAACAACTATACAAAAATTCAGCTCTCCAAAGGATCAATTGTGGTTGCTGTGCTGGTACCCGTGATGGTTCGGGGGGCGTTGCGACGCTGCGCCTGACCCTCACGGCTGGCATCGTACTGTAGTATTGGGTGGAAGCCTGGCACATGGCCCAAAAGTATGTACCCACCTCTAGCATAAAGAACCAGAAAATGAAAATGCCTAGTTTGTATGGCAGATCAGCGCCACTCCATACAAATAATCCCTGCTTTCTCACTTGCATGTTCTGGCTCTTTTTCTGGACGCGAGTATATATATATTATGTATTACAAATTAATTAGGCCCGTATGTGGGAAAGGAAATTGTGAGTTGTGATTGTAAAGTACTGGGCCACTATTGCACAAGTATATATATACTATACTGACAGACCCAATGGTAATATGGAAATGAAATTTAATGCAAAGTAGAAGCCGTGATATGTTAAACGCAATATTTGTGCGCATGTTTGCGTTGCAACTAACGTATAATCCGTCACACAAACTCCGGGGTGATTTCTGTTCATAGTAGGCGTGCCCTACATATCAGAGTTGCGCATGTAACCAACCCCAGTGGGATCTTACCGGGTACAAGTGAACATGCAACATCAATACTCTAAGTCAAACCACTACCATAGTCGCGCCACCAGATGTGAAATCTATTATCCAACAATACAGAATCGGAAGGATGCATGTAGGTCTTAGTGTATTTAATTCCATTGGCCCATGGGAAAACATTGATTGGTAGTTCTATGTAGCTAGATAACTTGCAAGGCTACCAGTCAAATGTCTTGCATGGTAATCGGGTATATCGAGTTGAATTCCTAGTGGCCCATTACAGCTAGAACTAACAGCCTCGTTTTAGAAATATTCTCCACATGAAGAAATTTTTATTCAACATACATCTATTTCTGGGTACTATGACAGGCCGGTCGCCAAAGTGTTCACCTCGAGAACTCAGTTTTCGGTTTTCCAATTGCAATGCTTATCTAAATTATGAGAAACGTTATTACGTTCCTAACCGAAGAGGCACAGCTAGGAGTAGAGAGAGACCGTATCTATGAGTTTGATATGGGAGGGAGACGAGGCTGAGACGAGGTTGAGAAAATAATGCCATGTACCTAATATTCGGGGACTCGGACCTCGCGATTCTTTTATCCTTTATAAAGCACAATTTTTATAAACTTCTTAAATACTCGCGAGGGAGACAAGTCTTATATAAAATTTTGGTACGTATATACATACATAGATATCAACCATGCATAATCCACATCCTAATATGTACCAAAACTGACAGATTTGATATTCTCGCTAGTACTAGTACCGAAGTACTTTGTAGCATTTCCTCTCGTAAAAGAATGGCACGTACAATACTAGGTACTAGCTGCAATGGAATGTGTTAGAATCCTAATTATTAATGCAGCCCGGCTTGCATGATACGCACATACAAGTGCGCACTATTACACGTATGTAGAGAACAGACGGACTGTTTCTAAATCCCCCTATCGCCCAGCCTGAGCTGCGGCCGCGCGCGACGGGGCCTGAATTACCCCGCTCTGAGATTTGAATATGTAGAAAGGCTTTACCTTGATTACACATGAGATATATACTTCGCCAGCCTCGCTGGTTCTCAATCGGAAGAGGTGCAGAGGAAATGAAAATATTAAATAGAGATCCTCCCTCAAAAGCATGCTACTTGGCAATCGGTCCCTTTGATTCCGTATACAAGGGAGCATATCTATAGTAATAAGGGCTCGACACGGCGTTCTATTCACATATTTCAAGACTTTAATTACCAGACTACATTATACAAGCCAAAGGTCAACGAAATGGTACAGTAATAGTACTCTGGATATATATCTTGACGTCTATATGTACAAACAAGCTAATTGATTCACTCTAGTATCCAACCCCGGAAGTCTGCTATAACTGTCAGCACACAGATCTTTCCAATCTCTACGTGTGTAGTAGCCGCGCATGTGGTGCGAACAATGCGTTCTGTGATGAATCCTGCATCGAATGTCTGAAAGAATTGGGACAATGCGGAGGCGAAAACCCTCATTATAATATCTCCTGCTGGCAGCAACATATGCCTCGAGGGAAAACTGCTCTTGCTCACCAAAAACAACCAGCACGCGATCAAGTTCGTATCAACGAAGTGTTTTATTGCGAGAAAAATCCGGAGAGACAGAGCGAACTTCACGCAAAGGATAAGGAGGCTAGGTGGTTCATGGTCGACCCTAGAACTGATCAGCAAACAGGGGATGGCATATTACGTGTGACCGATAGGTTCGAAGAATTACTGCAGCCGAGATCGGAAAATAGTTCCAAACAATTTCCGAGCTTGGTATCTTTTATTGGCGAGACCGGTACTGGCAAGTCGACATTAATAAGAGCGTCCATCAAGTTTTTCTCGGGCCAAGCGCAGCATTCAGAAACGCTCGAAACACCGGTCACTCGATTGGAAGCCGCATCTTCGTTGACAAGCCCTACTAGCTCTGGCGTTCATCTCTACAAAGATCCAGCGACATTTGCATCCCCGACGCCCATTCTCTTTGCGGACTGCGAAGGATTTAACTCTGGGGCCGGGTTGCCTACTTCCCACACCGCATGGGATAGCGATGGCGATACAGTTGCCCGGGCAATCCGGATCACCTCATCCACATACTCGAGCGCGGGCAGACAGCTCGCCCTCTCCGATAGAAATACAGACCTATACTCAAGATTTCTTTACGCCTTCAGCGATGTTGTCTGTCTAGTTACAAGGAACGCCCAAAAGATTTCTAAGGAGATCTCGGATCTGCTCCTGTGGGCTTACCGAGGACTTCGGGCATCTATCAACCAGGTTCAGGCAAAAACCCTCATCATTGTTCTCAACGCACCTAGTCATGATCATAACCCCAGTCTGATGAGTCCAATCGCACTCCACAAATACATCTTCGATAATATGCCAAAGGTTTGGGATGATTCAGAAGAATTGAAAGAAGAACGAAAAAAGTTGAACGATACTCTTCCCAAGAAAGATGAAATCAATTCTACAGAATCATTCATCTTACGATATTTCCAGAGCATCCGTGTCTGTTATATTCCAACAAAGGGCAGTGCTAATCCAGACGAGATGCACAAACAGTGCCAGTTACTTCGATCTCATATTACTGAAAGCGTGGATAAGACGTCAAAGGAGAAAGAGGAATCTTGGACGCGTTATAGTATCCGGGACCTATCGCAATTACTTAACCAGGCATTTGAACATTTCGCAACAGATGACAACCCATTCAATTTTTACAAAGCTACGAGAAAGGATAATCCTAATCCACAAAGCATGCAGGACCACATAATGAACATGCTACGGAACTTAGAGATGACGAGGAATAGAGACTTAATCAACCACTTTCCAAAGCTTGTCGCTTCAAGCATTTTAAACAATTGCCTTCGTGGAAGCGGCCCGGGTAATACCTTCATTTATAGATCTAGATTGGATGACCAATTCGAGGATACCATACTAATCTTTAAAATAGCGTTAGGTCCCGAGGTTATCTGGACGGAAACATATGAAGAAAAATGCACCGTCGGCATAGAGAACTTCTACAAACAGCATGCGGACTGTCAATTCCAAAAAGAGGGGCTGCCTCTCGAATTTTGCGCGATAAAAAAGCATGTACACAAATCTATACATCGTAGTAAGGACGGCAGTCTCATCGGTACTGGTGACTTCCTACCCTCTGACACTGGGGACATTGTACGCGAAAGAACCAGCAACATCGGGAAAGAGTTCGGGAGCTCCTATAAATATCTTTGCAGGAGAGGGGAGGGAAGATCGGTGGAGAGAATCATTGCTCATCGCAAAGAGGTTCTCCGGAGCCCACATCACGAGCTTTGGGGCCTGGTTCGTAGCTACAAGACCTGTTTTTCGTGTCTACTCTCATGTCCAGATCATGTCTTGCCATGTGGACATGCACTATGTGAACGGTGTATTTCTGACTTTGGCAAACCGTCAAATATCACTGAACGGGAGATAGAAATTAATGAATGTGTCTTTTGCGGGGAATCCTGGGAGCGCAAGCAGCGTATTCAAACAAAACCTCCATTCGCGGGAGTGCGAATTCTCACCCTGGATGGTGGCGGAATCAGGGGTATATTGGAATTATTGATGTTAAAAGAGATCCAGGAACGGATTGGACTGAATATTCGCTTTGATCAGTTTTTTGATTTGGTGGTTGGCACAAGTACAGGTATAACCTAGAGAAGACGCCCAATATCACAAGCATTATGGCTAACAATCTATCTATGCTAGGTGGAATCATAGCTTTGGGCCTCTTTGTACAGCGGCTAAGTCTAGAGAACATGATAAGAAAGTTTGAAGACTTATCGGTTCGTACATTTACACATACTCGGGGGCCCCGGTTCCAGCCTGCGCAAAGATTATTCCATTCCTCACCTGCACAGGCAATTCTGTATATGACAGGCCTCTGGGAGAGTACCTATCGAACCAGTCCTCTCAGAGAAGGAATTCAAGATGTCGTTGGAGAGAAGTGGAGTATGTTCGGAAGTGCCATGGGACGCAAAGTCCAGAGAAGGACCCGGGTGGCATTGATGACCGTCAAAGACTCTGGAAAACAGGCTGCCGCAATTACAAACTATAACCGCCCGTCTCTAGGTAATTAGATGCTCATAACCTTTCTACATCTAGGTGAAATTGAACTGGCTAATGGTTATTTGAGATCAAAACAATGACTTTGAACGTGCTGAGGGCGAGGAAGCAGAGATCAAGTGTTGGGAAGCGTAAGACCACCCACTTTGTATTGATGAAATACTTCTAAGTCCTGGGCAATACTAGTGGTCTATGCACCTCTGCAGCACCATTTTATTTTAAACCATTCAAAAAGGTGTCCGAATCAGCAACAGTGTCATATCTTGATGGTGGTATCCTCCACAACAACCCCATCAGGTGGGCGGCGAAAGAACGAGATAAGATATGGCCCAACGCAAAGCTAGATATCCTTCTCTCTTTGGGAACGGGATACTTCCCTAATCGTGAACGTATTCGTGAAACGTCAGTCTATGCTAGGTTCCCCTCGGCACAAGCGGTGGCCAATAGCTACTTTTCCACAATTGATTGTGAGAGTACTTGGTCGGACTTCCGGGAAGGGGGTGAATATGATCCGGAAGTACACCATCGACTAAACCACAAATTCGACGGGGAGTACTACGCTCTTGACAACTACCAAGCGATAAATATATTAGCCAATATATTCAAAGAATCGTTAGAGGTAGATTCAACCGATCTTGATAAGCAATTGCAACATAGCGCAGACCTTCTCGTCGCAAAGCTATTTTTCTTCGAACCCACTAAAATATATCAAATACCGGACTCATGTGCCTCCTGCAGAGACGAGAAAAAGTATCGAGTGGAGGGTAGCATTCTCTGTCGTTTGCCTAAGGGTTCGATCGAGTTGAAGATTCTCGTCCAAAGAATCATTGCCTTCAGTGCAAGTGATACTCCGGCTGAAGTCGAAATTGAGCGAAAGACGCAAATAGGTCCCCTGAAGACCTTCATAAAGGCAGTCGTAGACGGGGGACGATTTCAGATACCTCATACTATCACAGGATTTGGTTGCAGCCGGCAGATCATAAATGTACTGATCAAATGTCCAGGGTCCGGGGAAGATGGACCGATCCCGATCCCAATCAGTGGCTTTCCAAGGAATATCAGTGGTACGTACTTCGCGACCTGGGCTGAGCCGGGGTAAAGATCACTGACCCGATGGTAAAATAGAATTAGTGTATGTCTTTGAGGCAGAGAAAGCCCATCGTTATAAGTGGGTTATAGAAGCATAGCTTTACTGTTTAATAGGTGTAAGATTAGTTAGGGTTTCCGTGCAGGTATTCGTGGAGAATTTGAACAATGACCAGATGATTCTGGTATTCATGTCTCACATTTTCATCTTTTTTCATAACAAAGATTAAGGCATGTACTCAAGACATATAGCGCTTCCATAAAGTTCATGTGCCGCTTCGTCCCGGCTCACAGGTGGGGTTGTATCAAGTCCTGCAATTGAGCCAGCTTGTCTGAACCATTCTTCTCAAAAGTAGGCGCATATTTTAAAGAAAAAGATTTTGTCTTCAAAGAAGCATATATATACATGCATGGCTTTCCAGATTTGACTGATGAGATGTTAAATTGAAATCAAGTGACACCATAGTTATAATCTAGTATCGAGAACCGTTAAGTAGGTATAAGGATTAAAATATGTAAGAACGTGACAGAGAAAACGCTTAGTACATGAGAAAAACAAGAAGTTTATATCACTACTCAGACTATATCTAAAGGAAAAGGGGGTGCAGTAATCAAGGGACGCAGTAAACAGGTTGCCATTCATAAATAATACGCAAAGAGATGACCTCTCCGCACTGAGAGGTTATCGAGGGCTGTCAAATGTCGGGGTGACTACATGCATGGCGTGCAACCCAAAATGAATCTCCGTTCTTCCACAGTGGCAACAGCCCTAAGGCGGAGGACGAGAATTAGGAGGGGGTTGATAGAGCGGATATATTATCCCGGAGTAATCTCATTTACTGCCAAATCCAATACAATTCCAGGGGTTTGTACAGTCCTTGACGGTAGCTATCTTCGATCAGTGGCTTGGGCCATCTAGCGCTTGCTCCGACTTTAACACACATGGGTTCTGACCGGTAGCGTCGTGGACAGCTCTACACACAGTGGATCTCCAAGTGTTGTACTTTGGTGCCCATGATGTAGTTATTGCCGCTTCAGATGAAAGCAATAGTGGAAATTTCTGGTTATTCAAGCCTGGTTAATTTTCCCTATCACCTCATTCCTACTATCTTATTCAAAGTTTGGTCTCGTCAGCTATCAGTTGAACCACATCACCCGTTAGATCGCCCATTGTTCTCACCTCACGTATGCTTGTGAACAGGCCATGAAATGTCATTGGAAAATGGAATTGATATTATAGTCGATTCGATAGTTCAAGTCCTGGAGCGCAGAAGGCCAAACGAACGTTGAGGGCGTTCGGTGATTGCCGTCGGTATCGTGTCACCATTTTCCCAAATACCCGTTGATCTCTTCTCTCCTGACCTTTTCGTCTGTCCTAACTTGAACATCCGTCCTATACATTTCGAGAACTTGCCGAAGATCTTCCTTTTCTGGCTGAACGGGCTAGGCCTGGAGTATTAGACTATGGTCAGTGATCGGACCGGAGAGCATTCACAAGGGTCTGAGGGGTTGCGGACCTACTGAAAAGTAGCTCGCACTCCGCTGATACATGGTTGGGACCGCTGGGCATATCACTAATGGGGGATCTGGCCGGTGTGGAGTGGTTGGCTAAACCAGTGGTGGACGCACTATCATTCGTTGATACCTTGGTGGCATTCGGCTTGGTAACCTTACGTCTGTCAAGATACTCTTTCTCCCAGGTTTCTTTCTCCATCTTCTGCTCTCTTGCCTGATCAACCAATTTTCGCACAGGCTCAACCTCACGTAGATAGTTAAAAGTCCTAAAACATTTCGGACAATTTTCTAGATCTGAGAGAGCGAGTCCGTTGAAATGTTTGGAATCTGGTCCAACGCGATTCTTTTTGAGGATAGAAGATATCGCGCTTTCTTTGTGCTGGTGAGAGTTAATACAATTCACAGAATAAAGTCTCTGCATATCTGCAACGCCTGAGCTCGAGTCTTCTGTGTGGGTATTATCGGCCATAATAAAGTTAGAAATCGTTACATGAGCTTTCAGGTCCTGATGAAACACGTCGTCCTTGCGATAGGAAAGAAGATCTCGGAATCGCTGGAGAGATTGCAACTCTAGTACCTCTCCTGGCGATTGGAGAATTACGTCGCCCTCGTCGCTTTGTGGCTGCGGTGTTGTCTCGCATAGTTCAGATTGTATGGTTCTCAATATGTTTGCAAGGCTATTCAGAGAATCGATTTTTAAACTTATCACGTCCCCTCTACCGTCACCGTAGGGTGTAGGAGCTATCTGGAGGTGATTCAAGATTTCCTCGCATAGTTCGGATAGGTCTTGTAGATCGTTTATATCATGTGCCTGGCAATGTATGATGCTGATAGCTATGCTGTGTATGATATCGTAAATAGCGCAGTAGCTCGCCAGCCAATTATCCTGAAACTCTTTGACCAATCTTTTCACAGCCTTCAATAGAGACGCTGTGTCGACTGGAGACTATTAACTGCAGCGTCAGTAAACGTGAAATATTCACTAGAGACGCGCGTATTACCAATCCGACTCCCGCGTCGCATAAGCAACTGAGCTGATTCCCCGACGGAGGATCCATGACCAACTCCAGAGAGATCCGCAGCATCGTCGTCTCGTCAAACAATAATCGTCCTAAGCATTTTTTACTGGTTACAACCTCTCTCAATAGTGAGGTGCACCGTGCATCGGGTAGGTCATGCGCATCCGAGTAGCGGCGAAGGATTTGGAAGCCAGCCAGAATGGTCATCACCAGAAGGTTCTGCACTGGGAGGTCGTCTTCGAACTCGGCTGTTGGCGTCAAGAGTAGGGTTCGCAACCTCTCAACCAAAATTGTTATCGTCTGCTTGAGTGATTTGTAGCTTGGAAGAGACAGAATTTGGGAGGTACTGGTGTCTTTCTTTTCTGTCTGAAGCTGGGATTGGAGCTGAAGAAAAAGGGTTGCTAACTGCCTGACCAGATCAAAGAAAGGCGGGCTATTCAGCTTGTCCACAACGTCGGCATCTTCACGACAGTGTATGAGGACGAGATGTCCCATGATCTCCTCCGGGCTGTACCATGTCTTTAGGAGATACCAGATTTCCCCAAGCAAAGTTAATTTTGAGGAAGTTGTCCCGTTTGACTCTCGCAGCGACATTCTGGATGGTTTGGAGGCGGCTGTCTCGTTTGACTCTAGCTCTCGCAGCGACACCTTGGATGATTTGGAGGTGGATCGAGGTGGCGAAAGAAAGAAAAAGAAGAAAAAGGACGAGCGCTATCAGATGCTACTATCTGTTGATGATCAAGATATGATTCGCAATGATAGGGAATAACGAGCACATTTTTTTTGAAAATAACCACCAAAACCCTGCGTGGCAACCAACATTCCCCACCAAAACTCTGTAAAACTCAGGCTTCAAAATGCCAAGCCCCACCCCTGACATGACCAAGGCCCTGAACGCCCTTGGAATTCGCAACCTCGACCAAGAACTTGTAGGCGTAGCCAACAATACTGCCCTCTCCGCCCTTACCATCGCCATCCTGGCCAACCCCAACACCTCGGACGAAACCAGACTCGTCATCACCCTCCTGTGCGGCATCGCCAAACAAAACGCAACCATGGCAGGCGATATCGCCTCCCTCCAACAGGACCACGAGGACCTCCAAGAGGAGGTCCACCGCCATCAACGCTCCCCCGATCCCCGCATTCTCAACCGCCTCGACAGCATCATCTCCCAACTCCGCAATACCCCGACCCCCGCCGCTCCCCCTGCTCCCCCCCCAACCCCAAGAGCAACTACCACCCCCCACACTGCCCCCCCCAACCTCAGGCCCTCCTCTTACGCCAATGCCGCCAAATCAGCGGTAACCCCTCCCGCACAACCAGCCAGGCCGCAAAGACGACGCGGAAAAAGGAACGAAAAGGCTACAGGATCCCCCTCCAAGGACACGCCCCTTCCAACCTACAAACGCCGCTTTTTCGCCACTAAGACCACACCCACCCTCGTACCCGACTCCGACCGCCTAACAGCCGAACTCCCTGTCCTCTTTGGCCAGTTCCTAGCAAGGCAAGGCCTCGTCGCCCCTGCCACCGCCCTCTCGGTCACCGTCAATGCCAAAGGTACAGTAACTTTCCTTGCCGCCCCGACAGTCCTGAACACCACCTTCGCCCCCTTCTATGACAGCCTCACCGCCATACTCAACCAGAAAATCCCCACCCCCGACAACCCCTACACCTCCTTCCGCCCCGCGCCTGACACCATCGACGTCGCAGTACACGGGGTCCCCCTATACAGCATCCGTGACAAACCCACACTACAGGCTACCTTCCCCGAGGCCGTCCGCCTAGCCACAGGCATCACCCCCTCATCGTGCAGATTCCTCGTCGCTGACGACACAGCCCGCAACGCCAAAACCTCCTCCACCATCGTCATCAGTGTCTCCCGCTCTGAAGCCGCTGACATCGGTACAACCATACGTCTCTTTTCCCGACCCCGCCGCTGCGCCATCATATGGTCAGCCTCAGCAGGAACCCAATGCTCCCACTGCTACAAGTTTGGCCACGTCATCAGAGGATGCAAACAGGAACTCCCGACCTGCCCCTACTGCACTCTCTCCCACACCAAAGCTGAACACCACTGCCCTGCCCCCACTTGCCAAGGATACAACCTATCAACAATGGATTGCTGCGAGGTCTCCCAGTCCAAATGCTCCAACTGCGGAGGCCTTCACCCAGCCTTCGTATCCTCCTGCCCGCACAGACTCGCCCTCCAAAGACAAGACTCGGCCAATAACGGCATGAGAGACGGAGGCCGCATCTTCTCCCCCATCGGCTCCCCGTCCACCCACCCTGACGAAGAAGTCACTGAGATTCCCCAGACCTCGGTGACGGAGATGGACCTCAACAACGCCTAAATGTTAGGAGACCTTAGCTGTCCCCCGACACCATTTCTACGCATCATACAACATAATTGCGCTGGGAGCAATAATGTCTTCATTTCCCTCTTCTCCTCCCTCACAGTCTCGAAGGCCCACGTCGTCGCGATCCAAGAACCCCCCTTACTCAAAGGAAAGCCCCTCAATGCCCCCAAATTCACACTATACTCCCCCTCCCCTACCAATGCAGAGGACAAGATATCCACCTGCATCTACGTCTCCAATTATCTCCCCGAACGCAATTCAGCAACGGCAACCCCCTCTCACAGAGGAGACCTCATCTCAATCAACCTGTTCCTCCCAACCTCCCTAAACTCCCACTCCACCCTCACGATAACCAACATCTATAATAGACAGTTATCCAACTCCTCGAGATCGGTCAACCCATCCGAAATCTTCGCCCACACCCCCAACCCCCTCATCGTAGTAGGAGACTTCAATATCGACTCCCCTGCAGCAGACCCAATGAGGAACTTCTCCGATGGGGAACTTCGCCTCTCAGGGCCATACACTCACTCCGCCACAACCAACAACTTCTCACTCTTGAACTACCCAGGCCCCTACACCCGTCACTCCCCAGATCCCCGGGAAAGGCATGGAGTAATTGACCTCGCCTTCGCAAATGCAAGAGCCCTCTCCCTATTCAGCAAATGGCAACCCCTTCCCGAGGCCACCGGCTCCGACCACAGGGCCATCGCCATTACCTTCGCCCTCCCTAACACTGACTTCACACCCATCATTGGCCCCAATTGGAAACTTACAGACTGGCCAAGCCTCCAACCCACGCTCCAGAACTTCACAGTCCCCAGCCCCGACCTCTCAGCAAACCTCGATACCTGGTTTGAACAATCGCTGCAGAAGCTCACAGATACCCTGAAAGGCCACACCCCCACCAAAACAGTCACCAAATGGTCAAAAGCGTGGTGGAACACCAACATAACCCAACTCCGCACTATCTACCACTCTGTCCACCGCGACTTCAGAAGCGGCCTCAGTACCCCTTTCTAAGTCAAAGCGGCAAAGAATGCCTACTTCAACGCAATCAAAAATGCGAAACGCGCTCACTGGAAATCCTTCGTGTCCAACGCAGCCACCAGCGACGTCTGGAAACTAAAAAAAGTGGCAACAAGATCGGAGGACAGAGTCCCATCCCTCCCCAACTCCCTTACCCCCGCACCTCTGAATCAGAATCTGGTCAAAGCATTTTTTCCGCCCAGACCTGATACCGGCTCTCCCCCCCCCCTCAACTTCGCTCATGTCCCAGACATCACCCCCGAAGCAGTAAGAATCACCCTCCTCCCCACCTCCTATCTTTCAGCCCCTGGCCCAGACACCATCCCCTATTCAGTATGGAAAGGGGTCCATAAGGCCAACCCAAAAATCATCCCCGCGCTCCTCAACCCACTCCTAAAAAGCGGCTACCACCTCCTCTCTCTCAAAAGGGCAAATGGAGTTATTCTGGCAAAACCGAACAAAACCGACTACACCCTCCCCACCTCCTACAGGATAATCGTCCTCCTCCAAACCTTCTCCAAAATACTCGAGAAGATCGTTACCCTTCGCCTCGCATCTATCGCCAAGGCAGTAGGCCTCATCCATCCCCACCAATTCGGAGCAGTAGCCGGCCTCTCCACAGCCGACGCAGTCACCACCCTCCTCCACGAGCCCAAAGCCATGCAACACGCCAAACTAAAAGTCTCCACCCTCTTCCTCGACATCAAGGGAGACTTTGATAATGTCGTCAAACACACCCTTGCCTCCACCCTCGCGGCCAACGCCACCCCCACCTACATCATTAACTGGGTCCTCTCATTCCTCTCAGACAGGCACATCACCCTCCTCTATAAATGCTCCCCGAGAATCCCAACCCCCGTTCAAGTCGGAGTTCCCCAAGGCTCCCCCATATCGCCCCTACTCTTCGTCATATACATGAACATCCTCCACCTACACGATCCCTCCCCGGGGCTCACCCTATGCTACGTGGATGATTTTGCAATAATCGTGGGATCCCCCAGTTACCAACAAAACATCCACATCCTCGAAGAACACTTCAAGGCGATCACAACCATCACAGACGCCCAGAACACCACCTTCTCAATCCCCAAAACCGAACTCATGCGTTGGCGACCCTCAAAGACAAGGCGCCGACCTGCACACTCCCTATCACCCTCGATAACCAGGTCTTCCACCCAGGACATCAAGTCAGATGGGTCGGCTTCTGGCTATCCCCAAACTTCAACGCAAACACCCACTTCATCCGCCGTCTACATCAGCAAACCTGTAACCTTCGCCAGACGCCCGGGGCGCTCAGGGCGCTCAGGGCGCTCGGTAGGTAAACTACCTGTCCAGAGATACCGCCAGTGCCCCTGGCGAGGTCTGGCGCACATTATTCCACCCCGGGGCACACTAGTCCGCACAACGGGCCCCGACACTAAATAATAGCGCCCGGTGTAACTAGGACGTCACTCTACCCGCTAGAGAACGCCAGTTGCGCGGTTGGATATCCTGACTGCTCCTGGAGCACTCTTCACTGCTCTAGCAGGCTCTGGGGATAGAATGATTGCCCTGACTCCCCCTGACGTTGCCGGATGGGGTGATTTGAAATCTGGCTCATGCCCGACGTACCGATTCCTACATGTCGGCGCCCCGTTCTCTCTAGGCATACACCTCTCCGCCGTTCCGGCCTCTGGTATTCACAATTCCCCCATGAGATTACAAAAACATCACTCGCACGACGATCTCTACTGTCTCCAGAGCACTCGCGACTGCACTTTGAGAATTGGTGTATTCAACACCGTGATCCTCCGCCTAATACTAAATACAATACGCCATTTAACACCCTAACTAACCCTAATACAATATACGAATCAGAAGAAATCCCCCACTACCTCCCTTAGCACTCGTGATTGTTCTACACATCCTCCTCCCCCCCCCCCTTCGTAATCCCCCACTACAGGTAATTCCGGCTCTTCTTCTTCCTCCTCCCCCTCCTCTTCGGTGTCAATGCCGCGAAGTCGGGCATTAATCACTTCGTCCTGGGCACTGTCGGAATCAACCCGACCTCCTGGAGCACTTGTGGGTGTTCTCCGAGCATCTCGGAATACGGCAAGATCCGCAGCCAGACCTTCATCGTCCTCGCTAAAACCCTCCTCCGGTATAATCTCAATCGTTACCCCTTTTTTATCTCGTATCTATTAGGGTTAGCATTTAGAATACCACTCG